TGAGGATGAACCATGTGAAAATCCAGGTGGGGGGCTTCTAGCACAAAAAGTCAGATATGAAGGTCAGGAGGTCTGGGGAGGAAGGAATGTGGGGGTCAGAGACTGGAGCATGGGACAGCAGCCGAAAGTGGGGCAGCAGATGCACAGGCCATGTAGAGCCCTGTAAGCCAACTCAGGACTTGGATTTTCTTCTAGTGGTCACTGAGCAAGGAGCTATGAGGAAAAGACTAGGGAGCTGAGAGCAGCGGGGAGCCCTGGGGTAGAAGGGACCTCAGGTCTTGCTCACAGATGAATGTGGTTCAAAGACAGCGTTGAACATGGTTTTGAGTCTTGAAGATATGCTTATGCCATTTGCTGACACAACACTCCTGGGAGGGGGAGGTCGCAGGAATGGAGGTTTCTATGTGGATGGGTGGTTGGGTTGTTAGGTGTCTATCACACATGCCAGGGGGCTGTCCCAAAGGCAGCTGGATAGTTAGAAGTTCAGGGAAAGGTCTGGGGCTGGAGATATGAATATAGGTGTAATCAATATAGTGAATGTTATATAAAGTAATAGGTCAGAAAAAAATCACCCAGAGAGGGAATGAAGTGGAGAAAGAAGTACAAACCATAATGGAGCAGTTGGAGGGGAGGGAGGAAACCAGATATCTCAGCAGAGGATGGAAGAGGTGGAGATGCACATCTGCACTTACATCTGTATGGGTGCACGTGTGTATTATGCATGTCTGGTAAGTCATTAAATTGATGCATATGGTATTTCTTGGATTCTGTGCCAAGACTAAGGGGGACTAAGGGATGTGGAGAGGAGCAGCAGAGGCAACTTTGGCTTTGTTTATGACTTAGTTGCAGAGTATTCACAGGTAAGCTCACCTGTATGAAATTATCACAGAACAACAGCATTTGAGTCATTTGAAAGATATTACTTGACTTGGTGGTAAATTAACACATTTACAATAAACATTAATCAGAGGGACTAATTCAAGTATTTATTTTTGAACACTAGAAAATAATAGATTATCTCAGTTCTTTCTCTTATTAAAAATTTCAAATGGAGTGTGTCTCTATATCATTTCCATCTTACTAATTGTTAACAAGGATATAGTTTCATTACCCATGACAAGGAGATTTTGCTTGCCATAGGAAGTATATCCTTGTAATCAGAAAACAGAGCTCTCTGCTCCCTCTTTTACTCGATATTGGTCAGAAGCCTGATTCAACTTTGCTTTTTCTTAATAGAGTCCATTAAGTAGAAGAATCATTGGGGCTCAAATTTCAGACTCGTGGTGAGTGAGCAAATGGCTAAATGTGCACCTCTAGAAAGCTACAAACACAACAGACAATTTCCTTGTTTAGTTGGGAGCACTCCAAGCCCATGTATGTCCAGCATCAGTTTCTAAAGAAAAAAGCTCAGACAATAAAGTGATGACACAGCTCACAGGACCAAGTAGATGGGGGCTGGGGCTGTGTTGTTTCACTGCCTCACTGCAGATGTCTAATGGGCACAGTTGCCATGCCAAGAGAAAGGTTAGGTCAGTGATACTGGGGGGACCCTTGGGATCAGGGCTGTAGGAGTTTCGTGGATCCCAAAGATTCTTATTATATAACAACCCTGAAAATTGTCTTCTAAAGTCTCTATACCTGCAAAACATCTACCTGGTCACAGAATTGTGACTAGCCTGACTCAAATGGATCAGTCAATGCCTCTCATGTCATCTATCTTCTTGATTTTATCCTACTGCTTCTCATCTGCATCAAAAGGTAAGTTTTCCTGGAAGAAAATTCCCATGGGAAAAAAAAACACAGTGAAATGAAGAAACAGGCTATTAAATTATTTTAGGTATGCTATATCACTTTATTTTTTTCTATAAAAATTAAACACCATTTTTGATACTATAACATCAACATTGTGTACTTGGGGACTCTATTGAGACTTTCCAAAAAAAATCTGAAAATAAGAAAAAGAAGTTTAAAGTTCTATACATCAGCCAAAGAGCTCTAAGAGTTGGGTCTTATAATCTACACCGTACAGATAAAAGCAGACATGTAAAATTTTTCTTAAAGGTCAGAGCATCCTTTAGATTTGAAACTACTTGATCTGAGTGAGTGTATTGACACATTCAAAGAACCAGGGAAAGGTTGATTTGTTACAGAAGAATAGAAAATGGAAAACCACAGAAGTACATATTAATGGAGTTTATCCAAGCATGATCCAACATTAAGAAAACATTATCCAACAAACAATTTTAGTCCTCTTAGAAAAATAATCCATATTTTGGAGATAATGCTGGGAGGTACAGCCAACAAAATTCTATTTTTATGAAGTCACTTTGAAAATCACCCTTTGGTGAGTTGGTGTTTTCAGACTATTCCAGGTCTAATAATATAAAGCACTTACTTCTATTTGTATCCTTTGTTCTGAGTTCCATACTCACCAAGCCAACTGCTGATTCTGTTGAACTATCATGCTGATTGAAATATTCCAGCTAATGCATTACTCATTATGCATCAATAACTTGACTTTTACTCTATATATCAGACTTGTAAACTCAGTTATGGTGTCTGCACCTGAGAAAGGAATTTATTTTGCTAACAAATTAGGTTTCTGACCTTGCACAGGTAAGGGCTTAACTCTGGACCTGAAGTATTTTATCAAGATGTATTGATTTACAAAACTCCTTAAGAAAATAGCCCCTTGACTTACACCCAGACACACATTCCCTTTTGCATGTATGACCTAGTAAGTGTTAGGGAGCTTTGCTCACAGAGTCCCCCGTCCATCGAGGATGAGAATAAGTCTACCAAGACATGATCTGCTTGGGGAGGAAAGGTGGCCAATCTCTCAGAGGAGAAGGACCAAGAGCCTTTTCCTCAATGGGCTTTTATTGGGTTCATTTTGCACAGGAATACAGGTAAAGCTTATTAATCATTATCAGGCAGTAAGGATCAAACAATAGATAACATACAAAGAACTCTGAGGGCCTATTTTGAGTCAGGGTCAGATAGCTAAAGAGCCATAAAACATTTTTTTTTTAAGAGAGGGAAGGGAGGGAGAAAGAGAGAGAAACATCAATGTGTGGTTGCTGGGGGTTATGGCCTGCAACCCAGGCATGTACCTTGGCTGGGAATTGAACCTGTGAAACTTTGGATCACAGCTGGAGCTCAATCCACTGAGCTACGTCAGCCAGGGCCACGAGCCATAAAACTTTGAGGAACAAACTCACTTCCTGCTTGGACCCTTATCATTTAATTGAGAGCATTCTAAACAAAGCAAGTTTCACAGGATTTTACATATTCCTTCTTAGGCCTGATCACCCTAGGGAACCCGCCTTTTCTAGCACCAAGGTGCAGCCATTGCACCCCACTTAAAGGCTTAAGGCATTGTTTCATGCTTAAGTCAGACAGGGGAAATAAGACAGCCAAGAGATTAGGAGACTTCTCAAGACAGAATAAGAACTCAGGCTATGTCAAAGCCAAGGGGTGCAGGCCCATCACCCCCTTTTGCTATAGCCCCCCAAGTCCTTCCCTGGGGCCTCCCCATGATTGTGCCTATCTTAGATCATTCCCCCTTAGGGAATCTTACCCGTCATTGGCTAACTGATCAAGCATTAGGGGCCAGGAAGGGTTAAGAAAAAGGAGCAGAAGCAGCACTCCTGCCAGGGAGATAAGCTTTGTCTCCTTAGTGGCTTATGGTCCTAAGGTCACTCACTCAGCCTTATCCATGGAGGGGTTATAGCTTCTGAAACCAGACAGGGCGGTTCCCAACAAGCAAGAAAGCTAGCTCATCACCAATCTGCCAAGATAGATTATGGCTTTTTCCTGAGAGAAGGAGCCAGAACTTGAAGAGAGGGCCCTGGACACTCTGTGAGGGTAAAGGAGAGGGACAAGAGCAAGGGCAGTAAAATACAAGGTGAGACTGGGACAGGATGTGGCACAGAAACATGGAATTCCTGGTCAGACCATACAAAAATACATGATCAGGAAAAGGGAGAGGGCTGAGAAGGAGTTTTTAAAAACTGAGTGCTCAGAACAGGAGTGACAATATGCTAGAAGCAAACATAGGTGAGAGATTTATGTTGGCAAAATCCAGGGAACTTCTCAGCCAGGACCTTGAGTGACAACAGTTTGCACTCGAATTTAAGTACTTAACCCAAATTTAGAGAAAATGATACAGTTCCTCCAGAACCTAACCAGAAATTAACACAAATCGGTTGGCTTAGAGTTGATGTTGGGAAGTAAAGTGACAAGAAAGATGTAACAGTAAAAGTGAGGAAGGGCCAGAAAGGAAGAGTGAACCCACAAGTACCTGAAACAATAATTAATCCTGTGTCAGATAATGTGAGATGATGGGATTGTGATTCACCTTTTATAGTAAATTGCATCAGAAAGCAAGGAAGTGGAAACATGATGAAGGACACAGGCCAGCTCGAAGACAATCCTATTGGCCAAATTAAAATCAATCTACCAGTGAAAACAGATGGCAATAATGATAATAGACTAGAGTCCACTGAATTAAATAAAAAATGCTAATTCCATACTGGAAATAAATGAATAAATTAGAAGTTTAATGAGGTACAGGATTATTTACGTGGTCTCAGTGCACATCCCTGCACAAATATGTTTCCTACAGAGGATAAAATAGTAAGCACAGTGGAGAAGACCCACAGATGCCACCTTAGCCAGTGATGAAAGTGAATGTATGCTATAAGAAAAGTCTGAGGAGGTTTCCTGATCACAGACAGTGTGGGGGGTGCAGCATGGGTATTGCTTTGGGAATAGTCCTGCCACCCATGCATAATCATAATCTAATCCCAATGAAGCAGGGAACAAACCCAAATTGAGGGACATTCTATAAAATAACTGGCCTTGCCCTGACCAGTGTGGCTCAGTTGGTGGGGCATCATCCTGCAGAGCAAAAGATTGCTGGTTCAGTTTCCAGTTAGGGCATATGCCTGGGTTGAGGGCATTGCTGTGGTTGGGGTGTGTACAAAAGGCAACCAGTTGATGCTTCTCGCTTGCATCAATGTTTCTCTCCCTCTCTTTCTTCCTCCCTTCCCTGCTCTGTAAAAATAAATAAATAAAATCTTAAAAATAATTTGCTTATCACCTTCAAAAGAGTAGGGTCCTGAAAAGCAAAGACAGACTGAGGAACGGTACCTAGTTTCTAAGGAAGAAGGTGATGACAAGGCCAGTTCACCTCACGGTCAGCTGTTTCATGTCATGTAGGATAAATGTGCTAGCTCGCAGGACAGATATTCAAGTTTGTAGCAGCAGGTTGGCAACTTACTGTCAAATAATTCAAAACAAAAATGTTTTTTGCTCTGCTTGCACTTTTTCTGTGAATTTGATATTATTTTCTAAATAAAAAGTGTAAAAATGTAATCTCATTTTGTGTCTTACAGATACAGGTCCCTAATACAGTTCAAAGTTTGTCTTATTTTCTTTATTGTGGTTGAATCCAATTTAAATTAAAATACAAAATGCCTAACAAACATACATCCAGTATATGTTGTGGGAAACAAGATAGAACTCTACTAGCTTTTACAGCTCTTTAATAGTCTCAGAAGATAACAACTTGAACACGTCCTGACAGCTTTTGCCTCTGAGAGAGAAATAAATTAGCAAACAATCTTCAAGGTAACATTTTTAGTCCATGAAAATCCAATTTGTAGCATGGAACCAACCCAACACTGTAGCATAAACCACAAGTTACAAAGAGGTACCTCTCACACCCAGTAATTAGAATCCCCACCCCACACAGGTACACCCCTCCAAGTACAACTTACCTTCTCTGAGTATAAAACACTTCTTTCTCAGACTAGGATACTTCACAACATGTCTTTCTAAACTAAAGAAGTGCCTTCCCATTGGTATTTTTAAAACCATTAGAATGGCTGGTTACACAAGTAGATTTAGTAAGTATTCTTTTAAGAAGAAACCATTTTCAAGAGACAGCTCACATTTTACTTGTTACATTAACTTAGAGGGCATTGATCCCAAGCAGTAAGAGAATTACCAAAGATAAAATAAAATTAGAAAAAAATAGTTGATTCATTAGATATTTATTACATCATTAGAATTCTCTGCAAGGTCTCAAGCTGGATACTGGGGTGTGGGGGTGGGGAGGGTAAGAATCACAGTGACTAAGCTGTCAGCCTCAGTCTCCAGAAGCCTGTCTTTTGCAACCACATGCATCACTATTACACAATTTAATGACACTCAGTTACCTTGTCAGGAAGACTATCACAGAATATTTTCAATGACAAAATCTACACCCAGAAGAAGAAAGGTGTCCTAAACAAATCATCAAAATCAAGGAAACTTGGTTAAACTTCTCTCAGAAGATGACAGCATGTGGTCAGGTCTTCTGTGTGGCTACTAAGTTAATGAATAATGTTACTCCTTGTACCAGAAAGAGCAAAGAGATCCCCCACCCCATCCTCCTTCACCCAAAACAAATACAAATATACCAGAGTAATAGGTTAAAGTGAACATTAAGAGCCACCTTGCAAAATTACTTAAAGACTAAAGGACATGGTTAAGGGGAGATGAGTTTTGCCCCAGAAATGGATGGGTTTATGGACGGCTTATACATTTATCTAAGACTCAGGTAAGTTTTCCCAGCCATTGACAGAAGAATGAGCTGCAAGAGATGGCCATGCTCTGTGGCCAAAATGCAGGGCAGAGTGGGCCATGCATCAATATGTCTCAGCAGCTTGCACTGTGTCTGTGAGCTGCTCCTTTCTAAGGACCTCTTGCCCTGAGTTGGCCAGCACTGCGTCTCATCAGTCTTCAGCCAGTTTATCATTAACATCACCAGTAAATGTGATGAGCAACAATTCATTCAAGTTTAAACAGACACTTATATCCTGAGGAATTCTTCACCAAAACTGTGTGGGCTATTGCTGAGCATGTAGTAGACACAGGAAGTGGTTATATTCCACCACCGCTCCCAACAACTCTCATATTGTTCATTTTGCCAAAGGCATCATCAATCAGCAACATAATCAAAACCAAATTCTCTTTAAAATTGGAAATATTATCAACTTTTTATGAACTGGAGTGATACCAAGATATTAAGCAGAATCACTCATTTAGAAAAAGGTGTTCCAATTCTATCATTCTGGAAATGAATTTACGTTTTTCACAAACATCAGACAGACACAATCAATTTGGTCTATACAACCAGGGAAAATATTTCATACATTCTAAGATTTGCCTTGCCAGCATGTTTTCCCTCAGGTTGAAGAGGACATATTTTATGGGTTTTAACACACGTGACACAAGTGTTTCCTGCTTGAAGACCCAAGAGTGCAAATCTGAGATGGACAAGTCAAGTCGGTTTGATTAAAGGGATCTGATTTTCTTGGTGTTCCTGGAACTCACAGCACAATGGTACCTGTAAACTAGAATTCTAGAAAAGAACCATCAGTAGGAATTTTTGTGTCCCAATTGGTTTTGTTTTCTCTCTGCAGGCATGTTTGGGGTGGTCCACTGGCAGCACCATTTAGTAGAATGAGGCCCTCACTTGTCGGCCCTTCAGAGGCTGAGGTGGACGGTGATTGCTCAGCAAGAAGGTGGCTGCTTCACCCTCCTCGGTGCAGAGGAGGGTGCGGAATGTGGCCAGCTGTCAATGAGAAGAGACCGTGTCAACATACAACGTGAGCAGTGTTAGTGCAGTGACCTGCTCAGAAAGCTGAGAAACATCACCTTCCCTCTACCAGGAACTAAAAATATTATAATGAAAATTTTCTAAGTTATAGGTCATATCTGATAAAGCAACTGTTTCTCTAAATTCTCACCATTGTACAAATACAATGGATTAAAAAATTAAGTATATCAGCATTCTTCATTTGAAGAGCGAAGTCATGAGAGGAAACATTTGGAGTGTTTGAAGTATACATATCCAGAAATCAGAGTGTTACCTCAAAGGCAGAATGGGACAGTGAAACGGGGCTCAGGCTTTCTGAGCAAGGACCCAGGTCTGGTTCTGCCACAACCTACATGACCTAGGCTTCACCTTCCTCAGCATGAAGGTCACCTCAGGGGGTGTCTTCAGCTCTTGGAATCACACTGAACACTTATAAGCTCCCCAGTATCACCCAGGCCCAATTTTCACAAGAACCATGTTCATCCTGAAACATTTTGACTTTTATGTATTATTTTCCTTTAACTAGAAAATGTTGCTTATTTTCAACATGTTTGTGCCTTGTAAACAACTATCTGTGGGAAAAGCCTGAGGCCTTTCAACTTCTGATAATGTTTAAGCACAATTTCAGTAGTATACACATATTTCTTACCAAAAGGGATTAGTTTTTCTTATCATAAAAAGCATACTTACTTTACAAACTTCATACAATACCCAAGTATCAAGAAAAAAATAGAAATTACTAGTAACTGCATCACAAGATGTAACCACTGTTAACATTATAAAGTATTTTCCTATATATAAACACACACACATATTTAAGATGTTTTATTACAAAAAGTGAGCTTAGCAAAAATGTTCTTTTGAAACCTTTTTTTTTCTATGTACAGGGTATGAAAAAGTAGGTTTACAGGTATGAGTATGCAAAACACAAAGTTTATTCTTGTATTATTATTAATTACTCCATTATTTTCCATAAGAATTATAAATCTACTTTTGCCCCACCCTGTGCATATACATCTCTGCATATCAATAAATATGAATCACTGTCACTATTCTTAATTTCTAAAAATTTTGTATTATAAGCATGTTTAATATTATTTATTAGATTTAGCATAGGTCTACAGCAGTAAAATAAAGATAGGGTAAATGCCTTGAGTAATTTTACTCAAAATAACTCAGGTCCTGCACTTGAGGGGAGGTTTCTAAGTTTCCCCTTTTAAGCTTTCAACATGTTTAATTGCACTTTGTTCAATAAAGTTGTTGCATTCCAAAACAAACAAACAAAAAGTCTTAAAAATGTTCACCAAGCTCTGGTCAGCATGGCTCAGTTGTTTGGATATCATCCCATAAAGTGAAAGGCCACTGCACTGGTTCAATTCCCAGTCAAGGCACATGCTTGGGCTGCAGATTTTGTTCCCTGTCAGGCTGTGTGCAAGAGGCAGCTGATGGATGTTTCTCACATTGATGTTTCTCTCCCTCTTTTTCTCCCTCCTTTCCCCTCTCCCTAAAAATAAATAAATATTAAAAGAAATGTTCACCAAAAAGATATTGCCAGTTAATACAAGTAAGTTTTTGATATTTGTTTTGCTGTTTTCAGTGAAAACAAATAATTAAATTACTGAGAATGACAGCCTCCATTCTGTAAGTTTTGCTAGTCACTTAATCACTAAGTCAAGCAAATTCAGACCAGGACCCTTCAGTTAGGTTCCCACCATCATCATGAACCTAAACCATTTCTCACAGAGCACTTGCCAGACTGGGAGGAAGAGGCAGGGAGGGCCCTTCTTATAAAAGGCAGCTTATAACCACACTTTGTGGATGTAAATTCAGATCATGTACAAGCAGCTGTGCATTTCCATAAGTGATATTTTGGAGTGTCCTTTAAAAGGGTATAGGTTTGGGAAGGATAAGACAAGTATTTACAATTTGCTGTCATTCATGTGTCATTAGACCAAACCATTGCAGGTAAGCCAGATGAGACAGGTTATTCTTAGAAAAGTCAAGCAGCAGAGGCCACAGGGAAGACTCCCCCAGCTTAGAGCAAACCCCAGTAACCCTGGTCTGTGTGAAGCAGCCATTCCAAGTGAGAGGCTGTACAGGAATCCAGAATTCTGAATCAGGGCACTGCTGCACCAGCCTCACAGAGCACAACCAGCCTCCCAGGGAAACTGAAGAGTCTCTCAAAAACCCCCTCCCCCTTCTTACCACCCTGCAAGCTCACCATGGCTCCCTACCTCTCTGATACATTAGCCTCATGGGTCTCAGGCTGGAACTTACTCTAGAACTTTCTCTGACCTGGTTGCTCATTTTGGTAAGACTTCCTGAACCTGTCTTGATGTCCCATTAAACCCCTTCCCTTCCTCACTCTGGATCTGCTTCCCACTTACTTAGCCCAGTGAGGTAGGCCCTGCACCTGCCAGTCCCCACTTATATTTCTCCCAGCTTCTCCCAGCTCTGGTGTTGACAGGTTAAAGGGACATTAAGAATCCTCCCTGTTTATGCCCAAGCCATGATCTTTATTGGAAGAATGAAATATAGGCATGCTGTCTCTCAGGGAGAGCTGGCCCTTCTCCCTGGGAGATTAATACCTTTAATATTTAACTCTTCCTTCACAGAGAACTGGCTCTTCTCCCAGAGGTACCTGTTGGTTAGTTAAGTTACACAAGGCCTTTGGTGCATAGCCACTTTTGTCTAAAACATATTTAACCATACCCCAAAAGTGAGACTTTGGATTCTCACCCAAGAGAAGAACGCTTCGCTTGGAACTTTCCCATTCAGACCCTGAATGCTGTCTCTGGGATTCCCCAGCATCTACATTAGGGTGTTGATGATTTCCCACCTGGTGATGTATGATCTTGATTCTTGCTTTCACTTTGCTCTCACCTAATAAAGTGCTTAGCTATTCACCTTTGACTTGGGGTTTTTATTGTCTGCACATCCAAACCTCCAAGTTAAGTGGCCAGGATGTTGTACCATGCCCCTTAACTACACAGGTGTCCCCTGCCACTGCCCTGGCCTCGAAATGCACACCTTGGTCAGTCCCTAACAGTCTCATCCCTTTGGTGCCCTAGCTTCGTTAAGGCAAAAAATCTACTCCTCTGCCACTAAAGCTGACTCCGCATTTACCTGGTTCTGGGCAGGGGCCTCCCAGGTGAGCCTGGAGGCTCAGGTGGGTGTGACTTGTTTTGCTATTTTCTTTGGCTCAATACTGCAATTTTTATTTCTTTCTGTAGTAACCCCAGTAAACAGAAATACAGGGTGTAGCATAAGTAATGCCCCTCTTTTATTACAAAACCATAAGCATGTAATTCTGTAACATAACAATGTCACACTCAAGCACACCATATGACATTTCAAGTGAAATGTTTGAATAGCTGTCCATTTAGTATGAGACATAAGTATGGTACCCTACCAACCACACTCAAGCGTTACTTGTGCTGGACCCTGTCCTCTTTTCTAGTGCTTTGCAAATAGATTTCTGTCACTCTGGTGCTCAAATGTCTGCCAAAGTTGAATCATAATAAAAATAAGCTCTATTATGGAACATGGTGGGACAGGCACTGTGCTAAGTGCTTTACATTACATTATCTCAACCCCCCAAACAACCCTGTCAATAATGTACTGTTATCCCCATTTAAAGGTGAGAAACTTGCCCTGGCTGGCGTAGCTCAGTGGATTGAGCATGGGCTGCGAACCAAAGTTTCACAGGTTCAATTCCCAGTCAAGGTATATGCCTGGGTTGCAGGCCATGACCCCCAGCAACTGCACATTGATGTTTCTCTCTCCCTTTCTCCCTCCCTTCCCTCTCTAAAAATAAATAAAATAAAATCTTAAAAAAAATAAAGATGAGAAACTTGAAGGATAGCAAGGAAGGTTTGTAGACAAGTCATCTGGCAAACAAGCCACAGCACCTTAGTGCATCTCTAACTTTGTCTATTTTTTCCTTTTTTCCCCCCATTTTCCCCCAATCTCTTTTTATTTACTTTTTATTATGAAAACTTTCAAACATGCACAAATGTAGAATAATAAAGCACAGTGAACCCATCACCAGCTTTAACAACTACCTATCCACACATGGCCAAGTTAACATCATCCATACTCTCACCTATTCTCTCTCTCTACCTCCTGCCTGTCCAACTGGATTATTTTGATGTAAATTCCAAATACTATATAATTTCAGGTATAAATATCTCAAAGTATAACTCTAAAATAAGTGACATTTCTACCTCTATAAAGGCACTTGTTACCATGGCTTCTGAACATCTCTACCACCCAGTTCCAACTAACCTAGATTATCTCCGGTCACTTCTATACACATTTCCCACTTTCAGCCACATTGGTGACAAGTGGTCCCTGAACATGTGAATGAACACCTGAACACCTTTGGGCTATTTTAAAAATTCAGGTACCTAGATCATCTCCCAGAGCTTCTGAATCAGAATTTCTGCTAAGGCCCAAGGATCGACATTCTGACAAGCTTTCCTAGGTCATTCTTGCAGGCACTGAATTTTGAGAACCTCAGGTATAGATTCACCACTTTCCCTTTCCTGCTGTTTCTTCTTGAAATTCCCCCTTATCCCGATTCCCCCCAGCCCATAGTCATCTTCTGACGAGGCCACATACCAGGCCTTTCATGAAGTTTTTTTCCTGATTTTCCAGTGAAAAATCATCTTGCCCCTTCTGGACTTCCCATATACCTATGCTCTCTTCTAGTACCAGGAACAGCCATGTTGTCACAGTTTTTATGCATTCCTTTTATCTGCTCTGTTAGATTATAAACTACTAGAGGACAAGTGATACTTTTTAATACCTCTTTGTATCTCTTGCATGAATTAGCAATTATTAAACAATTTTAGAGTTAACTTGTACTACCTCCTGTAGTTTAGAAATTTAATTTCAAAGCTAATCATACAGAATTTTATATATTGAATTAAAATTAATGTTCAAGTAAATGAATTCTTTCCTCATTTCATAAC